CTACTACTACTACTACTAGTTCTACTTCGACTACCACCACAACTACTACTGCTACTACTACTCTTACTGCTACTCCTCCTACTACTGCTACTACTACTACTACTACTACTACTACTGCTACCACCGCGACTACTACCACGACTACTACGACTAATATCACCTCCCCTTTGCCGCCCTTGTGAACCCGGGGATTCGAACTTGTTCGAATTAAGAGACAAACAAAGCGGATATAAATCCAAAACTTACACTATGGACCAAAAGTGTTCTTGCATCAAAGACTGTGCCTTGCTGTTACTATCCATAACAACAAGCCCTGCATAGTTTATGGAGTGTTCCTGAGTGAAGGGGTATTGGTGTTCCTGGGAAGCCCATATGTGCCACAATCTACAGGTTCAGGGTTTTGGGGGTTTTGGGTTCTGGGTTGGCACGAATCGAAAACCACACCCACAACCCTAGCCCACGAACCCCTAGCCTACAAGCCTGGCACGTCCGCGAGTGACGGCCTAACTACACCGGAAACCCTAAACCCTAAGCAAGAGGAAACAAAACCCTAAACAAGCCAGGAAGGCTTTGCAATCACAGCACGTGGCACCGAAGAGGCTGGTGCCGATTGGCCACTTGGCTTCTCCTAAGGCTAGGGCTTTAGGGTTTAGGGTTTAGGGCTTCGGGGTGTCTAGTGTTTCGGATCTTTAGAGCTTAAGGCGCTTAGGGTTTGTTGGGGGTGTGTGGGGTTCAGGGTCTAGGGTTTGGGGGTGCAAGGCTTCAGGATTTTAGGGTTTAGGGTTTGGATTTTGGGTTTTCGGGTTTTTGGTGGGTTTAAGGTTTTAGGGTTTAGGGCTTTACTATTGGATTTTTGGCCTTTGGGGGTTCGGGATTCAGGGCCTTAACCTCTAGCGTTTAGAGTTTCCGCTTGTGCTGTTCAATTCCCGTTTCCCTTGTGGCCTTCAAAGCTACCTAAAATTTTGCGGGGTCCTGAAATTCTAGCCCGGAAGATGCTAGCAATGCGGAAGTTGAAGGCACTGGGTCACCCTCCTTTGGTGCGGGAATATCATCTGTGCAAGGGGCTTTCCCCTCCTGTCCTGTGCAAGGATATATATATCGAAGCGTTTGGGTACAGGGGCGCCTTAAAATTGGAAATAGGGTTTTGAGCTGTGATCATATACGCATGATATGGACGAGCCGATTCTTCGAAGAGGGAGATCAGGGACAGGCGCACACGTGACCTGTTCTTCCAGCAGTTTCGTTTCGGCGAGTATCGAAGCCGGAGTGGTCACCAACATAGTCTAGTGTCCTACTGTAGTCCTGAATATGCTTGTATGACCACACACCCAACCTCTATTCCAAATGTCAAGGCCCCTACACCCAAACTCTGCAAAAGCCCTCTTTTCAAAAAAGTTCCATAAGCCTTTACAGAACCCCACTAAGGACTCCTGTCTAAATTCTTGAGGCCCCTGCTTGAAGGAGATGTGGTGCAAGCATTATAGAACCCTGATGGGACCCCTTTAAAGATCCCTCAAGAAGGACGGACCCCCCTGCAAAACAGGAGATGTGGTGCAAGCTTCTGTCCGAGAGGGATGAGAACCCTGTGGTAGTCGCCTACGGTGACGATTCGGCGCAGTTTGCTGCGCCCATGGATCAGATCCATTTCTATGTTCACGAAGGCTCGTAGTCGGGTTTGGGGCTGAGGCTTTATGTTCACGAAGGTTCCTACGGTTTAGGGCCTAGGGGTTCGAGGTTTCGAAGGCTCTTGCTACGATTTGTAAGCTGCTTGAGGCCCTAGTCCCTAAACCCTAATACCCTAATACCCTAATACCCTAATACCCTAAACCCTAAACCCTAAGCCCTTCAGGCCTAGAGTCGAGTTTCGGGTTCCGAAGCCGCAGATCTCAGAGCTTCGGCTCTCGCAGGCTTTCCGGAGTTGAATAAATGTAGATGCGCCTGGGGGGCAGACTAAGTACGGGAGTTGAAAGACGCAGCACAAAAGAGCCATGACGTCGCTTGATGAAGGCTTTTCAACAAGCGGCAATCAATGGTCAAAGCACGGCTTAGGCTTGAGAATTCTTAGCTTGCTGGTCACCCTAAAGCCTAAACCCAATCCCCCGCCGGCGTCCCTTCCCGGAAAACAGGTGACTTCTCGGTGGAAAGTGATCGACAGACTTGTGGCGAAGTCGTGCAGAAATGCCTCGATTTTCGCCTCGCGAACCTGGCACTAGGTGCAGCAAGGGGGGGTTCGGGTTTGAACCATGAACCCGTAAACCCTACACCCTGTAAACCCTAAGCCCTGTAAACCCCTGTTACTCGAAAGCCTGGAGGCAGGATGGTACCCCTGAACCCTCAAGGCTTGGGACGTAGGATGCCAGGCCAGGCATGGTCTATCCAAGACGGTCAGAGCTTTGGGGGTTTAGGGTTCTGGTTTTGGGGTTGAAACGAACCCTCGCAGTCAAGTTTAAATGCTTGGTCCCCAAGATGAAGGTATCCTACGACTTGCCCTTAGCATCAAAATAGCCCAAAAGCCTTATATAATAGGGTCTTTGGACCCAAAAGCCTTCAAACATGAGTCCTTTGAGGGTAAGGGTGGACCACAAGGAACACAGATGATGCGAGAACGAGTGGCGCAGCAACCGAGCAACTTCACCTTGATGCGAGAAGAGTTATTTATTATAGGGGCCCTAATAGTTAGAATAGGGTTTTGGGGCCCATTATAGTATTATTCTAATAAGGAGCCCCCAGAATGGTATAGGTTTAGGGTTTAGGGTTTAGGGTTTAGGGTTTAGGGTTTATTTGGACACGCACTAGAATTGCTACTGCTTCTGGCCATCTGGGGCCCTTGACGTCTCTCAGCTTGGTGAACTTGCGACCGGTTGCTGGACACATAGAGTTTACATCCTTTCGATCTAGTCCTTCGCCGGAAGAATGCCGGGCAGAAATATATGTCAATCTTCGGCGAAGTATCTCCTTGCGCCCAGACTCCTACACTCCAAGACTTGGGCAACTCCTGAGATAAACTCCCGAGCTACCTCGCCCCAAGCCAGACTTCACCCTAACCCTGACAAAGCCAGCAGGTACAGAGTTCAAGCAGCGCGAGCTCTATCGCTTCTTTGCTGCTCGCTACGAAGACTTCGCGGGATTGCCGGTGCCAAGCAGGCCCGTATGAAGGGTGGGGAGACTGGTTTAGGTGTTTAGGGTTTAGGGGTGTGGTCTGGCCGGGCTTGAGCCCAGCAGCATATCGGTGTCTAGAGTTTAACTCCAGGTTTCAAGGAACCCTTCCGGAAGTGGCTTTCGACTTTTACCCTTGAGCTCCGACAGCATCGCAGACTCGTGCAGAGCCCGGGTCGCAGGTGGAAGCACGGCATTCGTCTTGTTGCAAGGGATCCCAGAAGCCTCCGTGGTTTTGGTTCTGCTTCGGGACGACTGGCTCGGGAGTTTGGCAGCTGTTGTTGGGATTGCCGCCCTCGTCATCGTCATCGTCGATATCGTTGTTGTTGCGGTTGAAATCTTTCAGAAGGGCTCTTGGTAAGAACATTTCGAGTAGGTTATAGGTGACGACATTGATAGCACCTACTCTGTAGATCTCTCGAGCGTGCTGCGAAGGACGCCCCGCGAATTCTTGACCCATTTTCGGCGCCTCGGACCATATCTGGGTAGTTGTCAAAATTAGGATCCCTTTTGGGGTACCCTAAATAATAGGTGCCGTATTGTAATAAGGACCCAAAAAGGGGCCATAATTTTGACAACCACCCATCTGAAGGTTTGCGCTTCTGGGTGCCAGGGAACTCTGCAACTCGGGGAGGTCTCTGGTGCCCCCAAAAGGCCCCGAAGGCGCGGGAACCCCGACACCTTTACTGTGATATGCCATTCCAAAACCCCGAGCCCTCAGGTTTAGGGTTTTAGGGAAACCTAAAGCTCCCAGCACCCAAAAAACCTACTACTCTAATTTCTGCGCCCGAAAGCTCCAGACGGCTACTGGCACGACGCAATTTCGGGCTCAAGCGTGAGCGTGTCCGACTCTAAATCCCTGAACCCTTAGGAACCCATAAACATCGCTACAAACATAGTACTTGAACGGTCAGTAACAAGAGTACGGCTAACCTGAAAAAGTAGTACTCCTTGCTATAGGTATTTTGTGATGTGTTTCAAGACCCTATTGCAGCCGCTGTGTTTTAAAGCCTTGCAGAAATCCTTGTTTCAACCCTTATAGGACCCTGTACAGTAATCCTATAAGACCCTACGCTCACTATTCAGGTCCCTACGGTTGATGACATAAATCCTGCATTACCCATAATGAGGAATATATGCCATAATTCCCATAGTTTAGGGCCCTTAAGGTTATCATCAACAGTCCATGGCCAAACCCTCGACCCTAAACCCTCAACCCTAAACCCTCAACCCTAAACCCTAAACCCTCCTGTTGTCTCTCAAGGTTTGGTTCTCAGGAGTTGGCGGTGCAGCAGAAGCAACTTGGGCTCAGGGTTTCTGGGTTGAAAGTTCAGGGTTTGAAGTTCTGGGATTTGTGGATTAATGTAGGGGCCTAGATAAGTACCAATACTATTTCGGGAGCTCCTGATTAAAGTTATAGTATATTGTGCCCAAAAACCCTATTCT